CACTTCCTGTTGTATCAATGATAGAGAAAAGTAAATAGAAATCTCCCCAAATGGACCAAAAAAATAAAAAATAAATAAACCTGACAAGTGTTTTAACCATTCCTTACTTCATCCCAAACTAAAAAGAAACACTGACTAGAGACACTCCTTAAAATATAGTATGGTGGCATTCTTCCTTTTCCTGCAGGTCAAATATTGGCCAGTTATTCATTTAGGTTGTATAATTTGTTACAGCTATTTAAGTAAAGAAAAATATTACAGGAACATTTATATGGTCCATGCAGAATGAATTCCCTCTTCCTTACAATTCAAGCTATTCCTGCGTATGTTATTGAACTCAAAGGCTGGTCAAAATGAAAAGCAACACAGTCTAAAAAAACATCAATTGGCTAATAGTTAAAGCCAGATTAAATATTACATATTTCTGAAATGTTCAAACACAAACAAATGCATAAACTTGAAGCATTTACATATCCCTTCCTCCAGGTTTTCCTAGCAATAATCTATGTTAATGAATAAAACATTGCAAAGTCTCAGCTTTGAGGAACAGGTGGTAAAAGAGGAAATGTACTTGCCAGAGACCGTACGGTGAGGCCAAATTCTGAGGTCCATTTCTCTGCCACGACTATCCGCAATACCAACACTGGTATCCAGAGCCGTAGAGAAATCTTAATGCGTTGCCTTGGTATTTTCATGAGCAAATGAAACAAAGAAAGATATAGGCAGAAGACTAAAATAAAAACCCACTCAACGGAACAGAAAATTAAAGCAGTCTTTCTTTCTGAGGACAAACTGCTCTGCAGGATAGGGCGATGCAGAATCTAAGGACTGTACAAAAAACCTCAAAGATTAGATAACCCACTAGTTTAAGAAAAATCTGATTAATAAGCAAAAGAACTATAAGGTTTACACTTTATTTCAGATCCCTGACACTGAACAGGGATGTTTATTTTTAGATGAATTGCATAAAAAAAAGCATAATTGCGTGGAAATCTCTGAGGGGAACCTTAAATTAGGGATATAATTTCTTTGTGAAATATTATGTCTGTCGTTTATTAGATGCTCTATTTTTAGCAAACTAGGCCAAGGAGAAAAAAATTCCTAATGCTTACAAGCCATATTCACAATTTACTTGCCTATCCTGTGTTAGTTGGGGCGGAAAGGGGGGTGTCATATTTTATACAGTCTAACTTACAAGAACATTTTAGAAACAGAAAAAGTAGGGATGAGAACAAGAGGTCAACCATGAATAACAAAATGTGTTCTTTTAGCCCTCATTCACACGGGTAACAGCCTGCCCGTACAGATCTGTGCTACGTGCACGGCTATATCAGGCAGCTCCCGGGAAGGACAGGTGCTGCGTGTGATTAGGTGTTAGGTGCTGCATGTGATTATACGCAGCAGCCTGTCCTTCTCTATGGGAGTACGCAGCCGTACGCCACCCTACGCTCACCTGACCGACACGTCTGTAAGGGTGCGGGTGTCCCTGCTCGGACGCAGACAGGATCCATCCTGTCAGTGGAAGACTACGGACAGCCGTGCACGCAGCATCTGAAGATCTGAAGATTCTTGAGTGTTCGTGAAGGATCATGGGGCAGGTGCATGCGCAGTAGAAATCTTTGGCCGGGAGAAGAGGAGAGACACAGTGCAAGTCAATGCACGCAGCTGGCAGCGAGCACGCGGACAGACACTGCGGGACACAGAAGACACAGCAGTCAACGCTGGATCAGAGACCGGCACCAGCGCTGGAGGGACTCCTGAAAACTACTGGAAAGAAGAAGACGATCGGATCAAGAGGCATCATTTAAGGTAAGTCCTTAAAGCAGCGTGGGTTGGAATGTCACTTTAAGTCCCACAAATTCATGTTTTGCCTGCCAGTTATGTCCACCTTATGCTGCTTCCTGTGACAGTGAGGCAATCATGCTGCACTGCTCCAGAATTTAGAGCAGAGTTGCCACTGTCACATAGGCTGTGCCTGCTTGAACTACAGTTGATTGAGAAAATGTTACAATGGATATGGCTTTTGGCTGATTCATAGGCCTGCAACTTGTCAATCTGCACCAGGTCACACCTAGTTTTGCCCACTGCTTTCTAGATTGACAACACTATCTCTGTTGCTGAAACCCTACCACTGTGAGCTGTATGGTCTGGGAGGGGGAGTGTGTGGGCCACAAATGGAGGATTTGACTCATCAGGAAAGGTAAAATACGTTTTTTTGTATACTTGATGAGGCTTTTGCATCTCATAGTAACTTGATTTTCTACTTATTATTCTCTCATACAGGAGCCTTTAGCTGTACTTTAAGAGATTACAAAAAGCCTTTCCCTTGTTCTCTACTGATGCGTTAAGCCTTTTTAATCCAATATAATTTTTAACTGATTTAAACCCCTCCCTTTTTAAAGTAGTGTAAAATACTTAGATTCAAATTTGATTTGGCTTAAAGGGAATTATAGTATGGGCCCATGTACATATATTTACAAGTAACCTACGTTTAAATGAAGATGTATGACATTGCACAGACATCCACTGTCCTTGAAACCTGAAGCTATGTCAGAATTTGTGAAGAACTAGTAAAGAAACAGCTGTTATGGGAGTGGTTTAAGAACAAGGTTCTGTGTTTTAAATAGAGTTGAAGAATACATTTAGAAATCATGAGTTAAGTAGTTTTGGTCGCACCATATAGAGGAGTATGGGAGTCGTGACATCAGAAATAGGTTAAGAATATGCTTACACTATATATGGCCTTATAGGATAAACCAATCACTAACGTCGATTTTGGAATATAAGTGATAGTGGACTTCACACTGGTCACACTTCTTTACACTACATAATCTCACGACACACTTCATTTACACTACATTATATGACACTATGCATACTCATGAATAGAATTCTAACACGCCCATTCAACAAGAGACTTTGTTATTTCACCTGCTAAGGCTATTTTGGTTGAACCCTCCAGAAGCTGAGAACCATACCAGGAGGTAAAGACTCAGAACGAGATGACATGCTTTTTAACTCTGCATTAACTATATACTTTGAACTATCTATTTTTTTTTTTTAATTCTGTGTTTATTGAAACAAATAACAGAAAGATACATGAATACCGAGCATAGAGAACGTATTACAGCGCAAATATTAACATTTGAAACATAAGCGGTCTCATAGGAGAGCATAGAGATCCATATATCAAACTATCTATTTGTATATTATATTTTTGCAATATAATTGTATGCTGCTGTGACTTCCCATAGTTAAATTCAACAGAATAGAACTACTAATTTCAGCCCTCTGCCTTCCCGCTCATTTCAATACCCCCACTGCCAGCTTGATTTGATTATTCAGCAAGTGGGTAGGGGATGCTAGGCATTTAATGCATGTGCTTTAAGTTTTATTGTAATGTTTAAAAAAAACTGATTTACTGCTTACTTCCTCTTGAAAGTTACAGGTGATTAAACACTTTTTAAAGAACAGAATGCTCCAACAAGCTATAATTTGTCTTTCCTCTGGTATCAGATATATAATTAATAGAACTACTTCAGAGCAAAAATTAAATATGTGTTTTTGGGAGATCAATTAAGGAACACAGTTGTTAAGGTAATGAGCATTGTCTAATTAAAAGGGCCAACGTTTGTGTAAATGGAATCCTAATGATGGTCACCAAGAGCCATGTCTGACTATTCATTTGCTGCCCTCGCTCAAGAGTTGTGAAGGTCATAGCATGGCTTGTGAGAACTAATTAAACTGTAAAGTTCCTTGCTGTTAGGCATCAGATGACATTATTCTGGATTTATAGCTTGGTTGTTTGGTTTTTCTACTGATAGCTTTTGTATAGGGGTTATTAAAAAAGAACAAAGTCCAAGTTTGAAAGACAAACAGATATGATTATTTTAGAAGGATTATCTACTTTACCTGTAATTTTTCTAATTCCATCCTCTCTCTCTTCATAAAATAGTATCAGTAACAGTTTTTAAAGAAGAAGTCTTGCTAGAAGAATAAAACATGCTTGCTAATCCCCCACCAGGGGACCCAGTGCACATATCTCTTGGCCCCATTCAAACCTGTGCAGAGGTTTTCAAAGGCGTTCCTATTTGGGAGTTACAGCCAGCACTGAAGTCACCTCCCTCTCTTCATTCTGCCCCCCTCTACCACATCTCCTGGGCGTACACAGGAGAACCTGCACAACCCTTGCCCCTTCCTCCTCTGAAAGCTGCCAAGCAGATCATCTACATCTTCTGCCATGCAGCCCTGTGCCTGATCTCCTCTGCTAGGTTCTTTGAAGTAACAATAAATACTGAGCCCAGGCCTATCACCAGCTATTAAGGGGTTTGTTGTAAATGTCAGTGGCTGGAAAGGAATGGTGTAATCCACAAAAACACAAGCCCACAACCAGCTACTACATTTGTCCAAGACAGACTAGTGTAGTAGCTGGCCAGAGATTTCAGATAGCATAGGTGGAGGGTGGGGATGAGCTTTCAGATAACGCTGCTCAGCAACCACTGCACAAATTTGAATGGGACCAAGTGCACTGGGTACCCTGGGATGTGCACTGGGTACTTCCCCTGGGGGGTAACAAGCTTCTTTAAATGACTCAGGTTTTGAAAATAGCTTGCCCTAAACTTGCTTTACCTATACTTTCTGTGTTTACTTTCTTACTCTTGAGTGGTTAGAATCAACCATGCATGCCCTCAAGGGCTTATATGTTCTAAACCAAAATCTATTCTGTATTCCCTAGATTTTTATTTCTGTACATGAAGTAAAAAAGTAGTTATGAGTAAATTTGATACCTTTTGACAGCTTACAAAAAATATACACACTCTGACCCCATTTTCCTCTGCTCTGCTGCATATTTACTTACACCTAAGTGTGTCTGTCTACTCTGATTATAGTTGCCCCTCAACATACTGTACATTTACAACTCCTAAAGGAGATAACAGTTAAAATTTAAATATGCATCAGATTGTCTTATAAGTGAGCCATCATTCCTCATAAGTACTTACCAACAGATGCTGGCATTTCTCCCCATTGTAGTACATTTGCTTTTGTGAAGTGACCATATGTATCAATATAAACCCCTTCATCCTCATAGCTCAGCAGAAGCTCCATGCCATTGGTGTTAGGCAGGATGATGATGGCATGTGGGTGAATGTTTCCCTGGATCTGAAATGAAAGTATTCCATCAATTGTTTTCTAAAAATCATCAAAACAACATTAACCCCATTGCATTGTTTACTACGTTTGTCTTAACAAGTAAAAGACATTGCTAGATATTAAAGTGACACTAAACTCAGGACTTAAACCTTAAAAATGCATTCAAGTACTTAAATGATTAACAAAAATGTATCTTATTTGTGTATCTCTCGGCTGTAGATCCTCAAATCATCTCTGAATTGGTGATGGCACTGCCCTTCCTTCTGGAGAGTGGCTACTTATGTTCCCCATGGTCCCTGTGTGTGTTGTGAAGTAGCCAAAGCTCCAAGCTCACTCCCGTGATGGACTACAGTCTCAATACAAATTAGTAAACTAAACGTGAGATTGTAGTCTATCACGGGACTAAGCTTGGAGCATTGACTACTTTACAACACACACTTTACCTTACAAAAGGGACAGTACCATACACATGTTAAAACGATTACAAGAATCACAATCAACATGCAAAGCTGCTAGCAAGTAAAATGGAGAAGAGTCAGAACACACAACTTTGCCAACAGATCAGTACAGTTCTTATTCCTTCGCAGGATAAAACATGGCTCTAGTTCATAATGCCAAGAATGCAACAGGGTTAATGTGTGTCTAAACTCAATAACAAAAATTATATATATTGCAGCTTAGTAATTCCTATGTGGTGACAACATTAATTTTCTTAAAAAAAGAACTATGAGGAGAGAGAAATGTACTCATTCCCATAGTTAGAGCTCATGTGTGACATTGCAACTGTCACACATCGACTCTATAAGAACTGAGCGATCACAAACATCTGTTCACTCAGTTCACAATCTGTCCTGCAGAGAGCGGTGACTGTCAGTCACCGCTCCCTGCAGGGATTCCCCCCTCCCCTCTCTCTGATCCTCCAGCTCTCAATGGAGGGACAGATGGGGAAGGTGGTGGGCACAGCTGACTCTACCTCTAGAGAGGCAGAGATGGTTGGCAATCAGGCAGCAGGGTGCAGTGTGGCTCTGAGTTTTGAGTCACAGGAGGTCATTATTAAATTAGTAGTCTTCCTGTGACCCAAAAGAGAACACGACCATAGTTTTCTTTTAAATTACGTTGAACAATAACAGACATTTACTGGCCTGAGGTGAAAATAAAGGAAAAATAGCTAAAAAAAGGAAAACTAATGCAAACACCACATCTGCTAAGCTGCAATATATTAAATTGTTGCTTATGGGTTTTAAGGTGGACAAAACAGGTGATTAAGATTCTTGTGAACTAATGTAGCATTATAACTATTATCTAGTGTATTAGATATGTGTTTGGACCCATATCTGATGGCTATCATCACATTGATAAGGTATGCTAACCATTGCATATTGGTTAACATCGATAGAAAATGCATCATCACAAATTGCTTCTCTGTTGACATTTTCAACAGGTTTTCAACCTGACTAACTATGTAACATCCCTGTATATATGAACAATGAACGAATACTGAAACACTGTATTATGGTGCTAACAAGGCACACGCAACATGGTAAAAGACTCCCCATATGAAATAAAGTAGGCTGATCTTATTTATTTATTACAGATATATATAGCGCTGACAATTTGCGCAGTGCGCTTTAGATAGTTGCACATTCACATTAGTCCCTGCCCTCAAGGAGCTTACAATCTGAGGTCCCTATCTCACATGCATACATAGAAGGGCCAATTTAGACAGTTTCAAAGTGATTTTGGAAAGAGTTTTGGGGTATTATAGGAAATATAATTAGGAGTAGAGTTTACCTTTCGAGTGGATCTCTAGTCAATGTTCTGTTTTTAGATAGCTTGGGTAATGGTAGTAACCTTAGAGGCTTTTTTGCCACTGGGGTTATATACACTATGCATTTGTACTGGTATCCAGTTTCACAAGGACGGAAGGAGATGGGAAATCCCCCAAATTTTGTTTAATATAAAACACCTATTTTGATGACATCTATTCAAGAGGGGATTTCCATTCATTTTGGAGAGAGTTCCCTTCACTTCCTGTTGTATCAATGATAGAGAAAAGTAAATAGAAATCTCCCCAAATGGACCAAAAAAATAAAAAATAAATAAACCTGACAAGTGTTTTAACCATTCCTTACTTCATCCCAAACTAAAAAGAAACACTGACTAGAGACACTCCTTAAAATATAGTATGGTGGCATTCTTCCTTTTCCTGCAGGTCAAATATTGGCCAGTTATTCATTTAGGTTGTATAATTTGTTACAGCTATTTAAGTAAAGAAAAATATTACAGGAACATTTATATGGTCCATGCAGAATGAATTCCCTCTTCCTTACAATTCAAGCTATTCCTGCGTATGTTATTGAACTCAAAGGCTGGTCAAAATGAAAAGCAACACAGTCTAAAAAAACATCAATTGGCTAATAGTTAAAGCCAGATTAAATATTACATATTTCTGAAATGTTCAAACACAAACAAATGCATAAACTTGAAGCATTTACATATCCCTTCCTCCAGGTTTTCCTAGCAATAATCTATGTTAATGAATAAAACATTGCAAAGTCTCAGCTTTGAGGAACAGGTGGTAAAAGAGGAAATGTACTTGCCAGAGACCGTACGGTGAGGCCAAATTCTGAGGTCCATTTCTCTGCCACGACTATCCGCAATACCAACACTGGTATCCAGAGCCGTAGAGAAATCTTAATGCGTTGCCTTGGTATTTTCATGAGCAAATGAAACAAAGAAAGATATAGGCAGAAGACTAAAATAAAAACCCACTCAACGGAACAGAAAATTAAAGCAGTCTTTCTTTCTGAGGACAAACTGCTCTGCAGGATAGGGCGATGCAGAATCTAAGGACTGTACAAAAAACCTCAAAGATTAGATAACCCACTAGTTTAAGAAAAATCTGATTAATAAGCAAAAGAACTATAAGGTTTACACTTTATTTCAGATCCCTGACACTGAACAGGGATGTTTATTTTTAGATGAATTGCATAAAAAAAAGCATAATTGCGTGGAAATCTCTGAGGGGAACCTTAAATTAGGGATATAATTTCTTTGTGAAATATTATGTCTGTCGTTTATTAGATGCTCTATTTTTAGCAAACTAGGCCAAGGAGAAAAAAATTCCTAATGCTTACAAGCCATATTCACAATTTACTTGCCTATCCTGTGTTAGTTGGGGCGGAAAGGGGGGTGTCATATTTTATACAGTCTAACTTACAAGAACATTTTAGAAACAGAAAAAGTAGGGATGAGAACAAGAGGTCAACCATGAATAACAAAATGTGTTCTTTTAGCCCTCATTCACACGGGTAACAGCCTGCCCGTACAGATCTGTGCTACGTGCACGGCTATATCAGGCAGCTCCCGGGAAGGACAGGTGCTGCGTGTGATTAGGTGTTAGGTGCTGCATGTGATTATACGCAGCAGCCTGTCCTTCTCTATGGGAGTACGCAGCCGTACGCCACCCTACGCTCACCTGACCGACACGTCTGTAAGGGTGCGGGTGTCCCTGCTCGGACGCAGACAGGATCCATCCTGTCAGTGGAAGACTACGGACAGCCGTGCACGCAGCATCTGAAGATCTGAAGATTCTTGAGTGTTCGTGAAGGATCATGGGGCAGGTGCATGCGCAGTAGAAATCTTTGGCCGGGAGAAGAGGAGAGACACAGTGCAAGTCAATGCACGCAGCTGGCAGCGAGCACGCGGACAGACACTGCGGGACACAGAAGACACAGCAGTCAACGCTGGATCAGAGACCGGCACCAGCGCTGGAGGGACTCCTGAAAACTACTGGAAAGAAGAAGACGATCGGATCAAGAGGCATCATTTAAGGTAAGTCCTTAAAGCAGCGTGGGTTGGAATGTCACTTTAAGTCCCACAAATTCATGTTTTGCCTGCCAGTTATGTCCACCTTATGCTGCTTCCTGTGACAGTGAGGCAATCATGCTGCACTGCTCCAGAATTTAGAGCAGAGTTGCCACTGTCACATAGGCTGTGCCTGCTTGAACTACAGTTGATTGAGAAAATGTTACAATGGATATGGCTTTTGGCTGATTCATAGGCCTGCAACTTGTCAATCTGCACCAGGTCACACCTAGTTTTGCCCACTGCTTTCTAGATTGACAACACTATCTCTGTTGCTGAAACCCTACCACTGTGAGCTGTATGGTCTGGGAGGGGGAGTGTGTGGGCCACAAATGGAGGATTTGACTCATCAGGAAAGGTAAAATACGTTTTTTTGTATACTTGATGAGGCTTTTGCATCTCATAGTAACTTGATTTTCTACTTATTATTCTCTCATACAGGAGCCTTTAGCTGTACTTTAAGAGATTACAAAAAGCCTTTCCCTTGTTCTCTACTGATGCGTTAAGCCTTTTTAATCCAATATAATTTTTAACTGATTTAAACCCCTCCCTTTTTAAAGTAGTGTAAAATACTTAGATTCAAATTTGATTTGGCTTAAAGGGAATTATAGTATGGGCCCATGTACATATATTTACAAGTAACCTACGTTTAAATGAAGATGTATGACATTGCACAGACATCCACTGTCCTTGAAACCTGAAGCTATGTCAGAATTTGTGAAGAACTAGTAAAGAAACAGCTGTTATGGGAGTGGTTTAAGAACAAGGTTCTGTGTTTTAAATAGAGTTGAAGAATACATTTAGAAATCATGAGTTAAGTAGTTTTGGTCGCACCATATAGAGGAGTATGGGAGTCGTGACATCAGAAATAGGTTAAGAATATGCTTACACTATATATGGCCTTATAGGATAAACCAATCACTAACGTCGATTTTGGAATATAAGTGATAGTGGACTTCACACTGGTCACACTTCTTTACACTACATAATCTCACGACACACTTCATTTACACTACATTATATGACACTATGCATACTCATGAATAGAATTCTAACACGCCCATTCAACAAGAGACTTTGTTATTTCACCTGCTAAGGCTATTTTGGTTGAACCCTCCAGAAGCTGAGAACCATACCAGGAG